TGAAACATTACTTTCTAATCTCGTGGAATGAAATTTCATTCGAAGAGATTGAAAATTTAACCTTGAAAGAGTGAAAATACGATCACTCTTATGCAAGAATGGCAGATTTTTTTAGAATAAGATTTACTTTTTTGAAATAAGATTCACTTCAAAGGAATCTCAAGCCTTTTTTTGAAATATAATTCCAGAGTAGATGAAACCTCATTCCACAAAAGGGATTGAGATTTCACTTCTTCGGAGTAAATTTCATCATTCCTAAAGTAAATCTCACTTTAAAAAGAATTAAAATCTGCACTTAAACAAGAGGTTGTATTTTCATTCTTTTTTCAAGACAGGCTAAATTTGCAGTCTCTTTAAATGAAATTTTACTTCACGAGAGATTTAGAGAGTATATATTTTATTTTACTGCTTTGTTATTAAACACTAATAATTATTTTGTAAATAATAATAATGTAATCAATTCAACACCATACCTTTCTTCAGGTACTAATGTAATATAATAAGGAACATATTCCTTAAAATAAAAAACCGTCATTGCCAGGGTTTTTACGTTGTATACATTGATAGAGCTGCTTGGTTTATTTGTCATATACAAATTATTACCAACATGATCAAATGCCATGCTAAAATAAGAAACATTGTGCAATATGGTGTTTTTAAAAGTATCGCTGACTGGATCGAAGAGTACGATGGCTTTCTCAAATCGTTCCGTCATTATATAGCATATTACTTGGCCTAAATAAGTTTTAATTGTAAGAGTTAACATTAAAGATCGACTGTGTTAGACTGGCGTTTGTAATATTTTTGATGAAATAGCAATTCATTCATATACCAGAGGTCGGATCAGATACTATATCCTGAGGAAGTAATACTTTCGAGGCTATTCTTGTTTTCAGTTTTCCCAACATTCCATGATAATAGTTTGTAAATATCGTATCATGAAGAATCAGCAAATTCTTCGTCACCTCTAAAATTATAGTTTCATCTCATATTTATTTAAGAATATATAGTTTATTTAAGAATATTTAAGAATATATGATAAGTATTCGTTGTTATTATTAACATTCCAAATTTAATGTAGAATATATATTGTCCTAAAGATTTAATATTTTTCCTTTTATTAACGAATTTACCTTGACAAGTATGATTATCGGCATTTAATTTTTTATCCAAAGTACAAGCGCATGTGTATCCGTTCTCTTGATTTAGCATGCACAATTCAGAACACGGATTAAAATGACATGGATTATCAACCTGAAATTTAATTTAAAAGATAATGCAAACTTTTGACATATTTTTCACAAAGTAAAAGTAACTTCATAATACAACTGCATACTTTGGGCTTTATTGCTGAGTGATCGATGTGCACACTGAAATGTGAATGTTGACCAAGATGTAAGATATTCCAATCCTTTCCAGTAAATTTATTACAGGACTCTACTGATTTGGATTCCCAGTCGCTCCAGTACAATTTATTTTCAAAGACCGCCAATGAGAATGGGTCTTCTATTATATCGTGTAGTACAACCTGCGAATAATTAAATTATATAAATATATATCGTAGACTCTCAATATATATAATATTATACTGTAAAATGTTTTATAATAAAAAAAGAAACAAATAACTCTTCGATCGGTTCCGTCTAAGCGTATTGTTTCGATTTTCTTTAACTTGATATCCGCCCAATATAATCGATTAGTCGGATAGTCAATAGTTAGACTTTGTGGCGCTTTTAAGTTTGTAGAGACGAATATACGGATGTTTTTGCCGTCCATTCCCGCAACTGCTATATGTGGATTAGAACTCCAATCACACCAATACATTTTCCTATAAATGTAATATATGCTTAATATGTTTCTATTTAAATTTATGTCATAATGTTATAATTCTAGCTTCAAAAATTAAAAAAATTTAATTTAATTTGGTTAAATATTGAAAATAACAATTATCTTATCAGCACTTTATAAAATAATATTAATTAAATTCCATTTATAGTAAAACAAAAAATACAATAATAAATCAATTAATAAGAATTTACCTTTTTTCTTTCTCTTTTTCTCCTGATTTTTTTATAAGATTGTTAAATTATTAAAAAATAATAAAATTTGTTATATTTACCCATGAGTTGGTAATAAAGCAAGTCCTGTAGGTTTATCAGTATCATTGATTAATATGGTGCAATATGTGCCATCGTCTTTGCAAACTCCGATACGATTGTAACCGGTATCCGTGAAATATATATTTTGTGTGATCCAATCCACAGCTATCGCCGATATCTCCTTCAAACCTTTATACAATAAATGTAGCAAATTTGTAGAAAATATATATAAAATAGAAAATTACAATGTACAATCTTTATTTAAAAATTGATTGTTCTATAAAATACTTATTCTCTAAATCTCGTGGTGTGAAATCTCACTCGAGAGAATCAATTTTATTAAATTATAGATAATAATATCTTTGATTGTTTACTCCATATACTTTCGAAATTGCAATTAAATTAATATTCAAAATTATATACTAATTTATGTAAAAACGACAAAATGTGTATTTTTTCCTTTGAATATTTTCTAAATCTCGTGGAGAGAAATCTCACTCAAAGAAATTGAAAATTGTCAGTGTTCTTGAAAAAAGAACAGAAAAGAAAAGAAAAGAAATGAAAATACTCTTGTTCAAAAGTGCTAGATTTTTATTTATTCTTTTATTTATTCTTTTTAAAGTAAGATTTACTCTTTTGAAATGAGATTCGCTCCAAAGAAGTGAATCTCACTTTAAAAAGAGTGAAAATCTGTCACTCTTGAACAAGTAACCATATTTTCACTCTTTTTTCAAAATTGGCTCAATTTTCAATTTCTTTGAGTGAGATTTCTCTCCACGAGATTTAAAGAATATTCAAAGAAAAAAATACACATTCTGTCTTTTTTATACAAATTAGTATTTTGAATATTAATTTAATTGCAATTTCGAAAGTACATGGACCAATAAATAATCAAAACAGATGTTATTATCTCTAATTTAATAAAATTGATTCTCTTCTAATAGCTTATTAGAACATTTCAAATTACGTTTTTCTTGTAATGTAAAAATAATTAATAATACAAGAAAATTTTAAGGCATGATAGTTAAAAAAGAATAAATATTAATGTTATTTATCAATATTAAGCTATATGTATTAATAATGTTATTTATAAATATTAACTATTTTTACATTACAGGACTAATGAAAATTGAAAATTTTATTTGAAATATTCCATATTGATATTTCACGTAAAAATTAGTAATTTTTTATTTTTGTATGATTTTTTTGTAAACGGAAACACTGGGATTTTCTATTCATGCATATTTTAGTTCTGTAAAAAAAAATCATCAAATCGATTCAAAAAAATTTTGATTGTATTATTATATAATTCGTGATAATTGCCGTTATTCCAGCAACCACCATGCGCGCTTACCCATCATCACAATGACTTCGTGTTTATTTTGAGGAGTACTTCTTACAATAACCTCTCTATCTTCTTCAATATCCGACCAATATGTGTGGTCGCCGTTCATAGCAACACCGATCACACGATTTAAGTGTTTCGCAATTATAAAGTTTATTTGCGAATCGAGATACATGCCAACAATTTCTGTTTTTGCAGAGAAGACTATCGTAGCCTCGCCAGCTAAATTTTAAAGAAAAATTCGTATTTTTATAAAGTCTAATGTCAATCAATATGTTACACATATTTGCAAATTATTATAATTTACCAATCGCTTTGCAGGTTTTTTTATCCTGCTGCAAGAAATAATCCGTTTGACACCTGCAACTATACGATCCTGGAGTATTTATACATTCTTGATCGCATACACCATAAATTTGACACTCGTCGATATCTGCGAAACAGAAATTAGATTTGTTAGATAAATGGGACATGATTTTCGTTATTATTGCTTTTGTTTATTGCAATTTTACCTATACAAGTACGGTTATCATTTTGTAATTTATAACCCGGTTTACAGAAACATATACTTCCTTTAGGAGTTTGTTTGCATTCATGATCACATTTTACCGAGCAACTGGATGTACCTAAATAAAAATAAAAATTAAATATAATTTAACAATATAACAAATCACGAAAGATTTAAACGTATTAAAATAAAGGACAATATAATTACAATTTGTTCCAAAAAAATTAATGCACCAATTAAAATATATTGAAATATGTATAACTCACAACCGGCTTCGTCTGATTTATCGCCACAGTCATCCTTTCCATTGCATACTAATTTAAGAGGTATGCATAGTTGATTTTCACACAAATATTGGGAATTTTCTATTTTACAATAACTCGCGGATGATGTTTTATTTGCGTCTGAAAAATTGCAAAAAAATGTATAAAAGAAAGTCTTTCATTATATGATAAGATATAATTTTTATTATCCTATCGTTATTAGTAAACAATCTATATTTATAAAAAATTACTGCAATTCCATTCGTCGCTGCCGTCGGGACAATCCTTGTTACCGTCGCAAACCCAATCATGAAATACGCAATGTTCGTCAGCACACTGGAATCTGCCACTGCAATTTAACTGTGACAACAAAAACAAAATTGACAATTACTACTCGAGAAAAATAATGCAAATAAAAAAAGAAATGGGGATAATTATTAATAATAAATGTAAAATTTTGCGCCGATTCACTTACATCTTTCACGCAATCGTCGTACTCATCACTTCCATCCAGACAATCTTGTATTACGTCACAGAACTTTGCTATCGGTATGCAGTTATTACTTTTGCATTTATATTCATGTTTGGAGCATTTGATGGAAGAATTTGACTAATTGTAAGATAACAGAAAAAAGTTGTTTAATATTGCGTACACCTATATTATGTTGCGCGTTCTAACGTACATTAAACAGTTAAGAAATAAGTCATTATCTTTTCGATTAAACTTTATTCAGGCTTTGGTATAACTTAAGCAAATTACTATACTACAAACCGAGTTATACTTCTTATTGCACTGAGATATAAAGATTTAAAGATGAAGCATTATTTAAAAAAATTTTTCTAAAAGACTAAAGAATTTTTTTTAAGAAAACTATTCATCAATAAAATTAATTAAATAATTAACAAAAATGAAATTTAAAAAGGAGTAAACTATTATTATTTAGCGAAAGAAAAATATGCCGACTAAAATTACTGATTATACATATCTGTAGTTTCAGATTTTTGAAAGAAAATTTTAAATGAAAGGTTCAAAATGCATAATGTGTGATTTAATTGTAATAAGAGAAGCTGTGTATATAATCTATCTTAAAAATATCTATATCGCAGATTTAAAATCGGTAAAATTAAAAAAATCTTACTTTCAACAAATAACACGAGCTGTATAATACTCACGTCGCTATAATCGTCGCAGTCTTCTTCATCCGAGCCATCTGTACAGTCGTCAGTTCCATCACATTTATAGGAGAGTAATATACATTGCCCATTGTTGCATATGAATGAATTCTTACCGTGCAGATTTTGACATTTTTGTGTTTTAAAATTGGAGTCCAATCCTTATAAAACACAATTTTCATTTTTCAGTATTTCGGAATACATGTAAAGAAGTGATGTAATTCTAGATTGATGTATATTTTGCGTTAGTGCGATGCACAACTTCGAACAAAAGGTAGATATGTATTAAAAAAAGTTAATTAAAAATAAATTAAGAAAAAGTTAAGAATAAGAATAAAATTTTTGTCTTGTCAGGATATCTTACCATTAAATGAACAAGGATATAAAAAACTGTATATAAATAATAGTACTATAAAACGACGCATAACCTGTAAACAAAAACAAATTAAAATTTGATATCAAAATTTGATTAATATTAAAATTTGATTTGTAATAAGACAAATTCAAATTTATTAATTATTGCTCTTTCAATTATTATTTTATAAAGTTGAATATAAGCGTCATTAATAAACTCTACACTTTTAGTCGCTTTACTATCGAAAAGATTACTTTTCTCGTGATATGGTGATATAAGTAAATGGATCTTAAAAATGAATTTAATGTTTGCGATGTAATAATAAACGTAATCATAATTGGAATGAGGAAATTAAATAAAATTTGAGCATATTCCAAATTCTGTTTTCAGAGATTTTATGTTAAATTTTTCTTTTGTAAATTAATAAATTTTATAATAATAAATAGTATTACAAAAAAGTTCTTTAGAAACTTAAAAAGAATTTATCATCAGAATCAGAAATTAACGTACAACATTCTATCTTATAACATAAAATATTATATATGTTCATCCAGTTCACATACATCACAACACAAATAAATATAACATAATGCAAAAAGCAAAAATTTAATTTTTAGATAAATTAAATGTATATTTTCTTTAAATATATTAGTATTCAAATGCATTACTAAATCTCTCGAAATAAAAATTGAAATTAATAAGCTCAGCAAAAAATGGATACACATATAATATAAATGAAATTCTAATAAATACTATATTTTAAAATGTTAAATTTTTATAAATATATTAAAACTTGAAATTAATATTAAGAATTAAATATTTAAATATTTAAATGTAATATATTACATATTTAATAAATGTATTATATTACGTTTCTTAAATATTAAAATATTTTGTCGGAAAAAATATATTTTAAATATTATACAAAATGTAAATAATTTGATTAAAAATAATTACGTTATAATTATAAATATATTTAACTTCATTAAAAATAATGTTCATTAAAAAATAATGTTAGGAAAATCGGATGTACACAAATTTTATAAAAAAATAAAAAAGAGTACTCACACTACAATAAACGAAAGTTTTTATAAGTATATATAAAGGCTCAGATATATTTTTGTATCTTAAAAGGGGAAAACACGTATCTTGAACCGATCGCGATGCTGTTTGAAATGATTCTGAGACGTTAAATCCGAATATATTCGTTTATACTTAGTTCCTTGTTTCCATCACACAGCAATTATTAAGACACTCAAAGGTCGATGCTGACAACACAGAGGCTGACAATACGATCACTTAATACTACAATATTCTTGGACAATTAATAAAACTGTTTCTTCTGATTGATCGATCAAATGCTTCAAACATTTATAGCGTTAAGGTAAATCGCATCCAAAAATTATACTTTTATAATTATACTTTTATAAATCATATATTAATAGATACCTGTTGTGATAAAATATAAGAAAGAATTATCGAATGTATTACTTAAGATTTTTTTTTTATATAGATATTTTCTATTTATTTTCTATTATATTTATTATATTGTTACAGATGTTTATGCAAATGAACATTGGAGATTATATTTGAAAATATATTTGAAATTTTATATTTCTTTATATTTGAAAATATCTATTATTATATGTTTAATTTTTTTAACAAATCAATAACAAATTAAGTTATGAGATTGATTGTAACATAATGTATGAAGTATAATTTAAGCAAATAGTTGCCTAAGTTTATTTCTGAGCATCTTCTAAATCATACTTCCTTTGAAAGTTCATTTATTAAAAATATCCTTGATAAAAATAAATTTCTGAAATTGTTAAAATCAATTGTGAAAATGAGAAATGAAAATGATTAAAATATTGTTGAATATATTTTAGTATAAATGATACTTTTAGTACCGATACTTATAATAATATATATTATAAATTCTAATAAAAAATAACGAAAAATAAGGCTAATATATTTAATATCTTTACAGATTTATTCAAAGAAATTGAAGACTGGTTTATGCTGAATCCCCCCTAAAGATAATTTTTAAAAATACGTGAAAAAAATGAAAAGTATAATACAAAACATATATTTTTTACAGATTTATTAGCGTAAGTTGTAACATTAAAATATATTGAAATACTATAAATTGTAAGGAAAATATTTTAAAAGAAATGAAAATTAATAAAAATATTTGGAAAGAAAAATTTTTTTCTTTTCACATATTTATTAATGAAAATTATCGAATAGAAAGAAGCAGTAAGAATTAAAATGGAATTAATAAATTGGAATTAATAAATGAAAAATAATACTGATAATATTATTTTTCCAACTGAAATCTGTTGGAAAATAAGAAAATCAGTTCACACTGTAATGAAAAGCGTTGAATATATTTATAAAAATTTCTTTTTAGGACTGCCTTAGGTGATGTTGTTTCTCGCATGTAAAATTTAGTCAAGCCCTCTATATATAACCGATCAGGTCTATAAAATCGAAGTCTAAATATGTTATCATTTATATTTGTACATGATTTTCGTATACACATATTTAATAAGAGACACGATTGTATTTCTTTACAAAGTAAATTAATGAATGTAGTAATATTTTATGAAATCTTTCAATCTTGCAAAATAATAAATTTCATAATTAAAAAGATTACGTATTTGAATATTGAATGGCCAGTGGATATATATAGAACATAATAAGGTGCTCATTAGATAGTCTACAAGACGCATCCTACAAATAATCTCTAGATTAACGCAAGTGTCTCCACGGTATGAACTCATTAAATAAATTGCATTCATTGCATTTTTATTTTGAAATTTACTGAATTCTTTATAATCTTAATATTTTAATAATTAAATGTTAATAAACTCTTAATGAAATATTAATGTTGAAAATGGGTTAATTGATACAGATTCAATATGCAATTTCAATATGCAATTAAATAATATTTTGTTATTATTCATTACAATATTAGTAAAAAATTTCTATCAAGGATAAGATTAATAAAAGAAATCATTAATTAATATCCAATTTTAATAATTTAGAAAAAAAAAAAGATTATTATAATTATTTAGTAAAAGTATCAATAATAAAAAGATACGGATATTGAAATAAAACTGACGTGAATTTATTTTTGCAATTATTTGTACTCGTATTAATTATTAACACTTTACTATTATATCAATTATCAGTCTAATCTTGTGATGATACAATTTATGAAAATTATTAAATTTTATTAAAGTATCGATTTAATCTTTTTTTTTTTTACACAATAAATCATCTTTTATAAGAATATAAAAATTTAGAATAAAATTGTGTAATTACATTATACATGTATAGGTATATACCTATATGTATAATCAGTTATATATATTATATTATACTAATAAAAATTATGTCAGTTGTACCTACATTTTTTAAATTATTGTTAGCACAAAATAAAAGGTATAACCTGTTAAAACTTTTTTGTTTATGACTAATCTCATTTGTTTCATATTTTTATTATTAAATGTTACTTATATTAAATTAAGTAATAATATAAAATATTAAAAAATGAGGTACAAAATTTAGATGATGACCGCGATACGCATTCAACACAACTCGATCAATCTTCCTTAATATCAATTTTATCAGTCCTTCTTTATCAAAATTTTCAGCCAGCATGAAAATTTTACAGGAACATCTAATAGATTGGAACAAAAATTTTAAAATACATGAAACTCAATATATAGAATGATAAAGATTTCTATTTGTTGAAATTGACAAACATAAAGAAACAATATTGTTAGAGATAAGTGATGTTAGTCTTATCATTTTACAATAATTATTTTAAACGAGATGGAATAACACTAATTTATTAATCTAAACAGATATAATATGTACGCATATCTAAAAGATGTCATATCATAGATGTCTTTTAAACACGCGAGTATCCGAGAAATCGTACAGATGTAAAAAAACTATCGAATATAAAAAAAATTGATAATTCGTAAATTATCCTAGTGATCATAATTTTTTGTCGAGTGGTTTCGAAACTACGCTACTGCTTGAAAAAAACAAAAGCCAATCGAATGCACGGCAGTCGCCAGTCGGGCAGTGCCATTTTGCTGTGTTTTGCTGCTGTAGTAGAAGCTCAAGAAGTTCTCCGTACTCCTTGCGAAACGTACTCCTTATGATAGAAAATTACAGAATTTATCTCAAGGAATATGCCGCGTTGTTTGCTAAGGTCAATGGCACGATATCACAAGACAGACAAATCTAACGAAGGTATATCCTTTTATGAAAGCATTTCTACTTTTACAAAGATATATTTTCTTGCATCGTTGTAAGATCATTTAGGCATAATGTTTTAACAATTGCTCACCATTTGTTTCTCTAAGGCATTGTTGAAATTACGAATTGCTCGAAATCGTTACTTCAACCTTGACTGTCATCACAATAATAAACAGTCCGTAGGTATCATGCCTCGCGTGTCTTATCTTCACGTGATCAATTTCGATTATCTCGAATTTCTGATAGAAATTACTTTCCTGACGAAATAATTTTTACGAAAAACTACATAGATTGAGATAAGATCTTAAAAATTCTCATTCATAAATATTCGTAGTGAGATAAAGAGTAGCGTCGTTCGTTTGAAAAATCAAGAAATCCTCGGAACAACGCCACTCTTCGTCCCACTACGAATATCTAAATTAAGAATTTCTAAGATCTTGTCTCAATCTATTTTCTATACTTTTTCGTAAAAATTTTTTTCCGTCAAGGTTGTTGAGAAATAAATCTCGAAAATTCTTTTTCACGAATATATAAACTAAACGAGTATATAGTAACGATGTAATAAAACGAACATATGAAAAATTTCTACAATTTTCTTGTTTTAACCAATATCTTTGTTTATCTTGCTAGTTGACGGGAAAGAAAAATATTTTTTTTCGTTAAACACAAGAAAGACGTATTTTAATACTTCGAGATTAATTACTGACAACTGTAATAAATGAATTTTAATTTTATGTAGAACGAATTTCTGTCAAAACTTATTTCAATTTGTTCACTTATTACAGCATTACTTTCTACTGTTCGAAGTAATAATAAATCTCTTCTAGAAACGCTTTAAATCTCAATTATTCCGATAGCAAATATGCCGTGCTTGCTTCAGATGAAAGAAAATCAATTTTTGCAGAGTCCGAATTCCCGTGGCTACCACCGTCCACGAATCTCAAGCGAAAGAACCATACGAAAGAGACGACATCCAAGACGAGCAATATCTGGACCTGTTCCGGACTCCCTATTGTAACCCGTTACAGCTTCCACAAGAACAACGGCGCGCCATTTGACGCAGAGTTGAATTTAGATGGACAAAATTTTGAGAATGTACACCATGATGCATCGATCGACGGACACATAAAGGATAATAGTGAGAAAATATCGACGATATTGCTCGATGATGTGTCACGATTTTCCTCCAAGGTAGAGGAATCGGCAGGTTCGGCGACGCAGACGATAGATGCAGAAAAAATCACTGGCACGATAAATCCAAATATGATCAACGGCTGCGAAACACAGACCCTCTCGCAGACTTTGTATTTACTGCCGAAACAGAAGCACGAGTCGACGAATGCAGCTGAGGGTAAAACGACATCCACTCGGGAAGGCTGGAAGAAAAATAAAACGATGCACTATTGTCCGTATTGTCACAAGAGCTTTGACCGGCCGTGGGTGTTGAAGGGCCATTTGCGTCTACATACAGGCGAGCGGCCCTTCGAATGTCCAGTTTGCCACAAGTCCTTCGCTGATCGGTATGTACAAGACTCCCTGCCTAAACTTAAGACTTTGGCTGGTATAGTCGAGTCTTATTCCAAGACCGTCTTAAGTAATGTCTTAAGACGTTAATGCAGTCTTCTGATTGATTTGTGATTTCTTAAGACGATCTTGAATATAAGATCTGATTATGAATACCGCCTTTGACGTAGGAACGCGATCTCGGATTTTATTCCATTGACGAGAAATCTAAATAAATTAAGAATTGCTCTCTTTGGTAATTATTTTGGTAAGAAGAAACAAAAGTTTTAGTTAAATATTAAAAAGCTGAATTAAACCTATGAAAATCTCTCTAGGATGAGAAAACTTAATGCACATTTAATTCTATCACTTTTCGTTCTGTTCAATTGTCACTGTTTGGAATGTTAATTATTAATCAAGAAATGTCGTTATGTGACTAATTAATCTTCTTGGGATTATTACAGCTCGAATCTTCGCGCACATCAGAGGACACGTAATCATCATCAGTGGCAGTGGCGCTGTGGTGTCTGCTTTAAGGCTTTCTCGCAAAGGCGCTACCTGGAACGTCACTGTCCTGAAGCTTGCCGCAAGTATCGTATATCCCAGAAGAAGGAGATCGTTTGTACATGAATATATATTGGAAAAAACGTGACCAAGAATACCGACGGTTGTTAAAGACTGTGGTCCATTTATGCTCGTTTTCATCAATGATTAATTTTAATCTTTATTCAACTTATTCTTCTTATTTTTTTTTCTAATTCTTTCAGAAACTAAAAGAAGATGAAGGATTAGTTGAATCAAGATAAAATTTAATTTATATTGAAGTAGGCATTAGTATTACAAATGTTCGAAGCATTTGATTAACCAATTATCAGAAGAAAAAATTTTACTAATTAAAGTAATTTTTTAGTAAATCAAGTTACCATAAAAATGTTTAATTTTTTCATTTAATGAAGTTAAAATACCGAAATTGACGTGTGCAAAATTCTACGGCAGGTTAACGATGAACTAAGAGAGAAAAAAATGTTGAAAATGTAATCTTTCATGTATAACTTAGTGACAGATAAGGCTCGCAGACACTTCTTTGATTAACTGCATACAAATCTTATCGTAGACTTTATTAAAAAACAAATAATAGTTGTAAATAGTTTAAAAAAATTATGATTTTAATGGTCACAAAAAGTAATAGATCAACGGCCATTCTAGAAAGATATTTATGTGCATAAATTTGCATATAAATTTAATCTCGAAAAATAAATATAATCTCATCTTGTTTTCGTTCGATGAAGATGCAGCTCTTATTAGCGTATGTTCCATACTTTCATTAAGATATGCATGTAGTTTTAATGTATATTTTATCCAAATTATGCAGACATTTGTAATTTTGAGTGGGCCCTGGCGAGGCATCCCAATTTTTCGGCACTTTATTAAAGAACTACCTTAAATAATCAAAGAATATTTCAAAATATTTGTAATTGAAACTAATAAAAGGAAGGATGCTTCGAAACATTTGTAACATCAAATAGATCATAGCCAAAGTTTCAACGATATGTGTTGCGTACCAATGTAAAACTAATATATTACGTTATAATGTATATGCTATTTTTGACGCGAGCATGCGTTATATAATTAAGCTCTACGCCATGCTTTATGTTCCTCAACAAAATTTTGGTTTTTTTTTATGCTTTTAACAGATAATTTTAGGCACTAATTATTTTATTAACATGATAATTCAAGTTCAAATTGACTAGTGATATACGAAAAATTTGCACTGGAGCTATAATAATTGCATGAAGTTATACTTTAATTTATGCGACATTTAATGCGGCTTGAATTGTTTCTGGGAAAATGTTAATGTTTAATTTTATATTTACGATGTCAAACAGCTATTGGTAAAATCTTTAGGTTATCTGAAATTAGATTTAAAATAATCTTACACTTTTTTAAATT